TTGGCACTGCTGCATTGCAAGGAGACTCTGAGAAGCTGTTGCGTAGCATGGTTTGTATGGCAGGCTGAGTCCCGGCACCCGGGCGCGTAGCGCTGTGGCATAGCTCGCCAGCCCCACTCTGTCCTGCGCTTTCTGGTGTTGAACCCGAAGGCTGCTGCTTTCTCCCTCCAGTGCCAATTGTTTCTCCAAATATGAAGAAGCGAGGAAGGAACTTAATAGACAGAGACAGGGCAAATACAACAATGAATGAAATTCAGTGTGGACGAGTGTAAAGTGATGTGCAGCGGGGACAGGGAGAGTGACAATGTGAACATCACATACAAAATAATGTGCTCTGACTGATCGTTACCACAGAAATAAGATCCTGGTCTTGTTGAAATTGCCAGCTCAGCTGAAAACCAAATGGGGACCAGCGTTAGGCCACTGATTAAAGCTGTGGTTCACCTGCGTGTTGGCTGTTGTGTGCACTTTGCATGTACGATCCCTTCGTTCCAAACAAGGCAGAGTAGAGCTGGAAAGATTCAGAAAAGTGCAATAAGGATGGACAGATACCTGGAACAGCTTGCCTAAGGAGACAAACTGAGCGAGCTATGACTATAACCTGAAAAAGAGACAACTAAGATGGGATCATAGGTGCCTGTAAAATTGAGAAGGATGAGGAAAAGGCGACTGGAGAGTTCCCTGTCTCTTCCAGTGAAAGAACAAGGGCGTCTCTAAAGGCAAGGGCCAAGTTCAAAAAAGAAAGGGAAAGAAGATGCTTGCTCACACAGTATGTGTCTGAACTCTGAAGCTGCCTTGCTACAGGTTTGAAAGTGAGCTGGACAGACTCCTGGGGCAGTGCTGTAGGTGTTGTCGCTCTGTACGACGGCTGGTGGGCTGAGGTTCCCAGTAACCATGCACCAAATCTCAGTCGCCTCCACGCCCTGTCTTAGGATCCAGAAGTGGGTTATCGTCACCTCTCACGTAGGGCTGGAGACCCCAGTCATGCAGCACTAAGAAAGAAGCTCTTTCAGGTTCTGTAGGCATTGAAAAACGGCAGGTTTGGTAATCAGCAGTATTTTCCAGGTAGCAAGCAATATTTTACCTTTCTCTCTGAGTCCTCTCTCTAGAGAGCAATGTGCTGGCCAGGTGCCTGTCCTCATCTTTTGCCCTAAGGGTGTAAGGGCATGAGCCTGACATTGTTCTCTGACAAGTGGTCCTTCCTCCAAGCAGAAGAGAAGCACACTGTCCTTCCAAACTCCCAGCCAACCTGGGAGGGTGTGGCTGCATATTGCTGAGTTACTCTTCTCGTCAGTGTTGGTTGCCCTGCACCAGAGAAATACTTCATTTTCATTGCTGCAGGCAAAATTTTGATGTAGCTTCATCTGTTATCACAATTTTCAATCTCTTGGATTAGAATATTCCAATTTGCTCTGTACCGCAGGCCAAACGTTACTTAAGAATCAGTGTAAAACAGGCTAAATGGCAATGTGCTTGGAAAGAAGGAAAAGAGATGGGATGGAAAAAATACCTTAAATAGTTTGAAGTGAATAGTTTTCTTGTAAGAATACTGTGGCATGAAGGATTTGGGAAAGGGTAGCTGAAACCCGGTGAGGGAATGATCCTGTGGGTGCAGGGTTACAGTCATTTGACTTGGGCTTCGCTCTGATTTTTCTTTTAAATGCTGGGGGCCAGGGGAGCAGGGGCTAATGAAAACAAAAATCAGACCCTGAAAATCTGTGCTCCTGCTTCTCTGTCAGCATGACACGGGCATTTTTAAGTGCAGGGTTCATTGCCATGTTAGCAAGCGGAGCACTGACTGTGCGTTTGGTTTTGCTTGCGGGGTGCTGGAGGTAGGAAGGCGCGTTGCAGCTGTGGTGGGTTTGGTCGCTGTCTGTCCTGCAGCAGTCTGGGTGCCAGGAGGGCCCAGATGGCAGCAGGGCTCGGGCTGGGGCCTTCATCCTGGAGGAGAGAATTCATAACTAGGCTTGGCCCATTTTTAAAGTGCATGTGGTCATCTTAACCCTGTCAGTGATAACAGGCCCTAAACACATATGCATTTTTCCTTCATGCATAATGCTGCTTCCTATTTAGGATTATTTAGCTTATCCATTACCTCAGTTGTCTGAGGACACACTGTAAAAAAAACTATAGAAAAGGCATTTTAGGCTATGCGAATGACTTCAACATAAGGAAAGCATGACTAAGGGCTGAGAGAATGTGCAATGAAAATTACCCTTTTCAGGCTGAAGAAAATTCCCAGAAAAACGAGGCATGCGGGAAATGCCTGGCTCTTATGGTAGCTGGTCGTACAACCTTTGTGGGCAGAAAGCCAGCCCTCCGCAAACGCATTGTGCAAGCACTGTGGCCTTTGTAAACGTGTCATTAAAAAAAAAAATTTATATTTTTGGGGTGTATCTGATAGAAAATACAATCAAAGGACCTTGCTTTTGTCTCTTTCTCTGCCCTGGAGTCCTGTCTGGCCAGGCACATGTTGTTCAATGACTTTACATAACACAAATCTGGAAAACCTTGTGGGTCTTTAAAATAATCTGACTGCATCGTATCGGTGCATTTCTGCTGCATCCAGAGCCTCCCCATGGGGCAGGTTTGGGGTGTTAATGCCTGGGTGCTCTCTCAGGAAAGTGGGTTTTGAAATTTTACCTCAACGTGCAGGCATAGTTGTAACAACGATGAAGCCTTGCAAATATGATTTCCTTCTTATCTTAAGACCAAGGAAGAGCTTAATCTTGTATTTTCAAACCCCCAGTTACTAACAAATGCTTTCTTGCGGTGTTGTTTGAGCTCGCTGAGATCCCATTCCCACTGTCACAGCTGTGCACTCAAACTCCCGTGCTGCTTCATCTCGCTTTCCCACTCATTTTTTCTTATTTGTTTCTGAATTAATTCAGCCACTACCTCTGTGCTTTTTAATCTTGAAAACAATCCTCCTAACATGCCCTCGCCATCACGTCCCCAGCTCCCCGAAGCTGGTTCCTGAGGCACTGCTACAGACCTGCCACTTGTTCTTCACTTCTGCTTGCTGCTGCTGTTCTCACTTCAGCATTTTGCAGAAGCAAATGAATGGGAGATGTCTGTACTCTTCTGCTTAAGAATTCATTCGGAATTTCATATGGAAATGTTTCACAGTGATTCACAATATATTTCTGATGAACGAGCTGTTCCTACAGAAAACCTACAATATCGTCATTCTGTTTCCATCAAGGACTGGAGAAAGCACAGCTGTTTGGGAGCCGAGTGAAATCCAGGCGTGGTGGCTTTTCCTTTACTGATATGTGGATTTCAGTCCAGATTTAATAAGTATGTTTCCTTAATCCAGACTTTAAAAGATTATACAGGGGAGGAAAGAGGAGCTGCAGGTAGAGGATGAGTCTGCTGGCTCTGGTTACCAGGGAGCAGAGTTGCACAGGGTGCAAGCGTGTCGCCTGCTGCTAGATGTCTGCAACATCAAGGAAAGGAGAATCAAATACAGCTTGGCAACACAGCAGAAACAAAGTTATAAATAGGGAAGTCAACCATGATAAGCACAGTAATAAAAATACATCCGGTGAAGTAAAGGTGCAAGGATTTTTCCCCAGAAAAACACATTAACCTTTTTTGGAGGTAGATGTGACCTTGGGAACTTGTCAGAGTTTCGTAACTTCAGAAGGAACAAGAAATGACAGTCTGATAACACTTCCTCAAGAATGCACGGCATTCGTCGTTGTGAGTTTCATGTTCTCCGCGGGATGTGGATGACGCAGGCTACAACGTGAAAAATGCATCCAGACCTATAAAGGAATTACTTACTGTAGCTTTTGTTGCTGTGTTGTAGATCCTCATTATAATTCAGTTCTATATAGTATTTTTGTAATGAATGAGAAGTAGTAGAAATGAATGACCTTGCAAATAATTTAACCATAACTGTGTCTAAAATCAGTCTGCTCTCTGCTATGCGATGTAAATCTGTGGGGTTTCCCTGAGAAGGGAATTTAGTCGAGAGATTTTGTTAACAGAATACTGGTTTATTTTTAAGATAATATTAGTGCGAGTATTTTTAAGCTGAAGAAAAGCCTTTTCTTTCTATTTGCATCTTTGCAAAACATGTGAGAACAGGGAGCTAGGAGGGAAACTGAAACATGTTTGCTTAGGCTTTCAGTAGGACTAAAGTTTTTGACTCTGAGCTGTGTTCACTTCTGTGTTATTCTCGGTCTGTATCAGGGTGAAGCTGATGTAAAGCTGGAACGGTACAATGGGGAGTCAGGCATCTTGTCTCCAGGCTTTTCCCATCTTTATTAAAAAGTTGGACTTGATCCAAAACATGGGATCTCAGGCTTCTCGTGTGCTGAGAGTCTCTGTCTCCGAAATTCCAGCCAGGATCCAAATTTGTGTATGAGCCTATATTATAAATCAAACTTCTGAAACCCACCAGGTCTCCTGTTCTGAGGAGCTTATTGTGTTGTCCCCTTGGGAACGAGGATTAGCGCCGACGTGCCTTCTCGCTCCCCGGCACAGGTGCTTAGTGAAAGAGTAATTGCTTGGAAAGCAGAACGGAGGTCCTTGAGAAGAACGAAGATTGGGCTGATATCCAAGCTAGGAACTGTTCCTGTCCTGTTTGTGTTAATTCACACTCATTTTATAAATACTGAGTGATGGCTGCTTGTTTTGAAGGTGCTGAGCACCTACAGTTTCCATCGCTGTGAGCAGAAGTTTTGCATAGCCAATGCACATTCCTGAAGGAAAAGACCCCATGGACGATGTTTACTGAGTGCCCGGCTTAATCCTGCCGCTTGCAGGAACCATTTCACAAAGGTTTTCTACTGCTCATTTCAGTGCGGGTTAGTAGATTGTTTGCTGAAGGACAGAGATGAAAAGAGATCTCCTTACTTGCTGCACAGCAAAGCAGCTCCTGGCTGACTTGGGAATCGTCATTAGCTGTTTTTTGAGGACTCTCTTTTCCCATTTGTGTGGGGCTGCTAAGGTGTTTGGTCTGAGTAGCTGCGCTTTGTGTCTCCCGGCAGACCATGCAACAGATGAGTGACCACCGCTACGACAAGCTGACGGTGCCCGATGATGCCGCAGCAAACTGCATCTACTTAAACATTCCCGGCAAAGGCCACGTCCTGCTGCACCGAGCCCCTGAGGAGTACCCGGAAAGTGCAAAGGTGAGAGCTGCGCCGAGCATGCCTGGGAGAGCTTCAGCATCCCGGCCACGCCGGGGAGTCGGTGGGAGTTGAAGTCAGGTGCTTTCCAGCATGGGCTGTTGTATCCCATCATGGAAATACCAGATGGCGAGGGGTGGGAGGCCTGGGCTCTGTACTCATCTCCGCTACTGATTTAATTACTGTGTCCCTTGTGCCACTGGTGCTTCTTCTGCAGCACTGGGCGCAGCAGCAGTTCTCCTCACTGCGGTGCTGATGTGTGTGAATCCCAAAGCCAGAAGGCCGCGTACACTGTAAATGTTAGTGCGGATTACAAATGACAAGCCGGCTTAGCGCCCGCGGGTGAATCCGTGCCTGTTCATTCTGTAAATACTCAGAGAAAAGGGAAAATAGAGAGATGTAAAATGTAATGATTTCTGTTCCATTTTCTTTCCTAAACAGGTATTTGAAAAACTGAAGGACCATATGCTCATCCCAATAGCCAACACAGAACTGGAGAAAGTAGACGGGGCACTCACCTGTTGCTCTGTGCTTATTAACAAAACTTCGGAATTATGAGTTTACAGAGTCCCTCCCTTGTACCTGGCAATAATGTTACACACAAGGTAGACGAATCTGTATCCACACTTTTATTGTTTTTATTGACAATCTACTGTACCACTGTGCTACTAACCCTTGTTTACAAATTTTTTGCTTTGTGTATTTTTATTATGTCCTTGCAGATGGTATTTAAGGTGGATGTACGATGTGTTGGGGGGCACATAACTCTGAAGTATGTTAGTCTCATGGGCTAGCAGAAGACAAATATAATGGCTAACCCCTAGCTTTAGTGATTTAACATATCTGTGTGAAAATTTTATGAAAACCAACTAATTCTCAACATTTCAAGCACCTCTGTTGTCTTTACTCTGTTCCCTTCTCCTGTCTTTTTGCTCTTGCTTCCTTGTTCTGCATCTTTTTTCCTTCCTCGGTCCTCTTTACTTTCAGTGATGCAAGGTGTTGAGAGGACTGAAGAAAACTCAGTGGGCTCATGAACTTGCTATCTTGTGTGGTAGGGAAGCTTTCCGTACACTAGAACAGTGGGCAAGGGATGTGCTCGCTGTCTCGGCCATGTCACGTCGCTGCTGCTGGGCAGAGTTGTGGCGGGAATCAGCTTCAGACGCCAGGTAGCAACTTTGAAAGAAGCTTCCTCTGACAGGAGTGTTGGAGGGCGATGTCAGCCTGGGAAACTTGAGTGACAGAAAAAGAGGGAGCAGAGCAGCCACACAAGATACATACTGCAAGTTCAGGTCCCAGTTTGCTGCTAATGCCGTGACTTTCAATTTGGTGAGAACAGAAGAGGAGTTTTTAAAAAGGCCAGATCCCAGGGAGCACCCGGACCACAAAAATGAAAGACTGAGATGCTTTTAGAAAAGTTAAACCTACAAAAGTAATCTAAAATACAGGGAGTTTTAATTCTCTTTGTTCACTTTTATTTATTTCTGTCTCTCCTTTCTGTTTTCTCCTCTTTTGGAGGCTACTTACTAGCAAAATTCAAAAGAAAAGGGTGATAGAAGGAGTTGAAGGACAGCTATTACTGGGTTATGCTCATGAATAAGGGAAGCTATTTTTTCCTGAAAGATTGGTATTTGTACTTTATCTGCCCTTGGGGCAGTTTTCCTTGGAACAATAACCATCTTCTTTTTTTTAATTGCATGAATATTTACTGTGGTATTCAGTTAAAACAAATGTATTTTTTGTAGCAAATTCCACAACATGTTTAACCACTGAGTCATGCTTTTTTTCACCACAGTAAAGTGAAGCATACCCCCTTGTATTCACACGCTTCTTGCTCAATCGTTTGTAAACTAAGGATGGAGAAATTCCCAAACAGAGGCAGCAGTGGGAACTCTCCAGAGGCTGACAAATAGTCTGAACATGTTATCAGCTTCCTAGACATCTCCTCCACCTTTCCTGAACCACTTGTGGTGCGTTGCTACGGTACAGTAGGAAGCGAGCAGGGGGAGCCCGGGCAATGTGGTCTGCAGGAAAGCAAACAGCATTAACCGAGCGCACACTTGGATATCCTTTGGAAACCTGCGTGCTCTTTTGTGCAGTCATAAGGGAGGAAACACAAGTGCTCATATCCGTAGGTGCTCCTCAGCCTATCTCTCACTTCATCTCAGTGGCTAATGAGGAGGAAACCTCCCGGCATCGACCAGCACACATCCGATGCTCTGTGGGTGCACTGCATGTTGTGATGACACAAGGTATCACGAGGGAGAGAGCAATGACAAGTGAATATAATGTCTGTGAAAAGAGAGCATGTCCCAAAGGAAGCTCTTTAGCCAGCCAAACAGCAAGTGCTGTTTTTATGGCTGGGTGCTGTCCCAAAGGGTTCTCCTAATGCTTCCCCTTTGTTTCCACCATTCCCATGCACCATCATGCATCAGCCCAATGATGTAAGCATTGCAGTGGGGAATCTCTTTTTCTGCCTTCCCTTGGTACTTTCTAAATATCTGATTGTCCTGCTTACAGCTGAACCCAGGACTCTGATAAAGCATCTTGCATTTTAGAATGACTTGACATTGAAGAAAGATTTTGTGCCAGACAGTGACCCTGCAGTATTTAGCTGTGAGCTTCCAGAGGCAAGGTGTACTCCGTTAAGAACCTGTGCAGCCGTGGGAGCTGTCGTGCAAAGCTTTTTTAAGCCCAAATGATTTTGCCTTCTGTTGCCTCAGTTCTCCTACTTGAGTCTTCTTTTTATGTAATTCTCCCTCTTCGCTGTTCACTCCAAAGTGTCCCAACCCACAGTCGACTATCCTAAGCTCACTCCCTCCTTGAGCAGGTGCCAGGAGGGAGGAGAAACTGAGGGGTCCACTTTGGCTCTGAGCAACTTCTTTTGAGCTGGAAGGATGACTGTCAACAGGAGCTGTAGGTACAGAGAGTGACAAGGGTGACTCCTCTTCTTTAGCATTGCTCCAGAAAAGAGAAACATTTGTGGTGGACATTGTTGATGTTTTGTGTGTCTGAAAGAAATAGGTGACAGTGAATTCCCCTCATTCCCCAGGGAAGGGAGAAGGTGAGTTGGGATCTCAGAGCTGAGAAACACCTGCATTTACAGAGAGGTTGCTCTTTCACCTGTTGCCATTTAGATTTCCTTGCCTTCAAGGCTGCATTTTGGTACACAGAAAGAGCAAGGGAGTGGCTGAGGGACCCAAATTCCTTCAGGTGGTGATTTCAAGTTGCGTTCAAACTAACTTCAGGCATAGAATTTAGGTGCTCTAAATCACACGTGCTTTCTCTCTGTCAGTCTCAGTCGGTATCATGCCCTTCTAACACAGACACTCTAAATTACATCTTAGCCCAATGCCAGAAGTTACCTAAGCTGCTTAGAGGGATTGCCTCCACCTCTCTGCTTCTAGCGTTATTCTTTATTCTGGCATTATAAAGCAAAAACATGAAGAGCACTTCAGTTTGTGCATTTGCAGTATGGTACTAAGAACTAAAATCATGCCAGATGCTTCTTGTTCTTGCTGTATTTTCTGTTGCCCAAACGAAGAATTCAGTTGTGAGGACATTTCTGCTGTGATACATATGCATCTAATGGGCATCCTGTACATCTTGTCACCTGAACCTTTCTCGGATGCCTGATACAAATCATCAGCCTTGATTAATATAAACAATAAAATAAAATCCCAAACCAAAAAAGGAGATGAGACACTGAACACTAGTAGCTGCCCACGTAGTACGCTTGATAACAACTGTCAGGCTGCATGACATAGCAGGCCAGTGCAGAAGTGCTTGTGGTTCATAGCTCAGAAGTGGGGCTTGAATTACTCATCAAAGGCTTTTTTTCCTTTGAGCAATCAGTTTAGCTCAGTCCAAATGAAGGAGCTCCAATGTGCATTATAGATCTTTCACGGATGTTCTCTTTGCTAAGAGGTTAGGGAGAGCTGTGATACGCAGGTTTCTTTCTTCACCAGAATGTGAATACAGTGTCTCTCTCTGCGACAAAAATGTGAATGCATACTGTACCTTATACGATAAACTTGAATTCTTCCATTTCTGCATTTTTGTTATTTCCATGCTAAGAGACTCTTTTTCTGTCTTAAATAGATGCCACTGTGTGAAACGGTGCTCTGATTTTTTCGGTGATTTCCATGTGGTAGGTACAGAGCTCATAGGCGACACTATGTCCAGTTTTAAAAACAAAGTCAGTGCACAGAGTGCTGTTTGTTCACAGCAAATTGGGGGTGAAATATGGAAAAAAAAATGAGCTTTTGATTTTATTCAGCTTCTTATACATTATATCAATGAAGTCAGAGCCAAATTACTTTGATAGAAAACGTCAACATTCACATGGAACCATCTGGGGAAAATAATGTACTATTTAAGATTCTATATTTTTGCTTTTATCAATAAGGAAGCTGAAAAGATAAGACCACTTACAGAATAGTATTTGTTTAAGTGATTGTGAACAAAGTATCATTGGACCTCATGTATTTTCAGGAAAGTTTTAACTGGACGTATGATGTAACTTTATGTATAGAGTTGCATGTGAATCGTGTTAGTCACTGGTTTACATTGTATTGTTCTGCAGTGCACAAATATGACTACTGAACACAGAAGTGTTACATTTCATTAAAATTAAGATCTTGTTGCAGTGTATAGTTCCCCACTTTCTGTGCCAAAAACATCAATGCATTCCATGATCTGTTCTATTAGAGGTTTGCACTTTGATTTTTTTTTGTGACTCTTGCAGTTTCAATACTATATATCCCCATCATGAAGGAATAAAGTGTCAGTTGTACTGTGCACTGTGTAATTTTTGCCTCTTGTTTTGAAACTGAAAGCATGTGCATTTATTTTAATACTGTTATGCCATCTTTTATTTGGAAGCTTGCTACATGCCTAGAAATAAAGCCAGTTATAGACACTAGTGCTAAAACCTTTAAGCCTGCTAGAAGAAATCTTGAGTCTTTAGAAACAAATTATGATTTCCTGTAAGTTACAAAAGGTGGAACTACAAAGGTTTAGTGGCATGACCGGTACGGTTAAATTCTTCCCACAGCTCTCGTGCCTGTTCTCCCGCAGGACGCCAGGAGAGGTGACTGCCTGGCAGACGTCGCTCTGTGGCAGCACGACAGGCGGGGGCACGTTTTGTGCCTACACGCTGCTGGTTGTGTGCTGCAAGGAGGGGTAGGGGTAGGGGTAGGGGTAGGGTGGATTCACGGTCTCGGAAGGCAGGGCAGCCCCTCCGGGCTCCGTGGACGTGGAAGTGCTCGTGGGCCATCAGTGCCACCTTGTGGGAACCCACGAAGCAATAGTTCCAGGCCTCCAGAGCGCTGCTTCCACTTCTTAGGAAACCAAACGTAAGTGAACAGCACCGCAGCAAAAGAATTACATCGCTTCCAAACCGTACGACTCTGCTAGTAGCAGGAATTTAAATAAAGCATAATCTCATACCCTTCTTGCTGGAGAAGCAGGGGCGAGGAAAGGTTTCATTGGGGCTGATGTAAATGCAGCCTTTGTACTAATTTAACTACACTGGTTAAAAGTATGATTTTTATACTAATAGATTTAAATCAGTGCTATGTCTAAAGTGGATGCATTTAGCTTGGTGCAGTTAATATAGTAAACTGCTGCATTTACCTGCATCTTTGTGTACCTGTATCTACAGGAGAGTGTTGGTACCAATTCACTTGAATTTGTTTCGAAATGGCAATAATTAAAAACAACAAAAGCAATACAAGCCACTCCTGCTCGCCACATTAGGAAGTTCTTCATAAAATACCAAAACCTGCACAGCAAAAGCATAGTAGTCATTTAAAAAGGAGAGCCCTTTGCAAAATCTAGCTGTAGAATGTTCCTTCAGCAAGTAGAGACTTCTGCCCTTGGGTATACGAATTCACTCTCCACTGTAAGCACATCCTGCCGAAAGCACGAGGCACAGTCTGCTGCCTCGTAAACTCCCAGCGTCGCGATGCTCTCACCAGCCTCGCCCCCAGAAATTCGGCAGCCCTAGACTGGTTGCTGGGGCTTGTCATGGAGTGCTTGCTGAGGGAAGGGTGGGTGTAAAGCCCCGTCGGTCTCGTGGTGGGGGGGTCCTGCCAGCCCCGAAAAGGGTTTGTGCTGGAGCAGGACCCAGACCCTTGAGTAAGGCCCGGGAGGCAGAAGGGGACAGGAGCAGCTCGCAGGTGGTGGGCCCTGCTCTGCGGTAAGGCCAGGCTGCCTGGAGAGGGGACAATCGCTGGGGACAGGGTGGGGAGAAAACCTGGAGCCAGGCACAGCTCTGAAAAGCCGCCCGACCGCTTCTCACAAACCGTGACAGTGTTACGACATTTTCGAGGACCGATATTGTGGAAGATTTGAACAGCGCTGGGTTGTAAGCAGGCTCCGAAACTCCTTTGGCTCAGAAGTTTATTCTAGGTGGAGAATACATATGTCTGTACTCATAAAACCATTGCGGTGTCCAAACTCTTCCCAGCTCCCTTGAAAGAAATTATCTGTAGCTTGCTCCTCACTGAGGCTCATTTATTAATACCGAACTGATGCTCACCTCCTGAAAGGAGTTTA